GCCTCACTCAAGCTCCAGCTCTTTTGCTATTTTCTACTTGAGCTTAAGGGGTATAATGTGATCCAGCCAAACAGCAGTGATACCCACAAAGTACCTCACTAAAATTCCAGCTGTCCTGCTCACTCCTGGCATGTCACTCCCTGTGTGTTGTTCCCATTATATCACTCCTAGTGCAGGCTTCAGTTCCCAGTGCAGGTGTCTGTTCTGGTGCAGGTGTCATCTCCCAGTGCAGACATCCAGAGCTGTTTTTTTTTTAATTCTATTATTCTTGAATATTTTCTTTTCAGATGTTGATTGATAAGTTAAAAAAATCATTCCAGATATGATTACAGAACATGGCTATTTTCTGAAGGTTTGTACAAAAAAACCCTTTTTTTAAAAAAAATGGAGTGTGATGAGTTTTCTATTATTCTTGTATATTTTTTTAAATGGAGTGTGCTAGATGTCTCTGTTATTTTTGTTCCAATGACTGCAGAAGCTAGAAAAGTTGTTGCTGTAATTTTAACTTTTTCAAACTTCAGCTTTGTTCTGTCAACTTTGGAAAAAGTATCCCAGTTGTATTGTGTTGAGTTGACACTGTAAAGAAATTAACAACCACTTTGATCTAAAAATGTTAAGGTATTTCATCTACATGAGTTTGATTACAGAACCTAAGAAAGTATTAAAAAATTATTACTCCTGCTGGGGTAAGATAGTATCTCATTGATGTTTTGATTTGTATCTCTTATTGCTAGTGTTTTAAACATTTCTTCATGCATTTGTTAGTCATCCAAATGCCCTCCTTTGTGAAGAATCTTTTTATGTCATTTGCCCATTTTGTATTTGGGTTACTAGTCTTTTTTTTGTGGAAGCTTGTCATATTCTGTAAATTTTAGTTATGAGACCTTTGTCTGAAATGGCATTGCCTAATATTTTTTTCCTAGTCTGTGAGCTTTCTTTTCACCCTATTGGAATGGAAAGGTCCCATTTTTTCCTTTATTTTCTTTTTTTAATTTTAATGAAAGTTTACAGAGACTTAGAGTTTCCAATCATTCACTGTTGCATTTTTCTCCCTGCCCACCCCTCTCCCAATTCACTCTTCTCCTTGAAAAGGAAAAGAAAAACTCTTTGTTATGCAGTTCCTTCCCCCAAGTCCACTCCACTGTGCAGCCTTCATTCTAGACTATCATTACAATAATTCCCAATCATATATCCCTTTAAAACAGTTCTCTCCCTCATCCATTTCAATGCAGCATACATCATTCCTCCCCTCCCCCTCCCCTCAACCATGATGTCAGTCCCATTTTTACAACACTGGCCCTATGCAATATTGTCCTGTTGTCACTGAGGTACTTCACTCAGCATAATGTCCTTCAGGGTCATCCATTTTGAATAAAAAAAGATCCCATTTGTCAATTTTATCAACTCTCAACATAATTTTAATGACCCTCATTAAGGTGGGTTGTGGCAATCAATACAGTATGTCAGAAATGATGAAGATGGTACAGGATATGACAGGGTTCAAATTTGTTGTTCATAGCATCACTATGAGTCGTACTTGGCTTGATGGAACCTGACAATAACAATAAAATTATTTACTTGTTATACATGAGCACGTTACTTAATCTCATTAAAGTTCTGTTCCCTCATCTATGAAGTAGATATTTAAAGTGTCTATCTTACAGGCTTGCTCTGAGAAATAATGGAGGTAAAATATAAACTTCTTAACTCAGTGCCTAGAAGACAATGAAAGATGATTACTTGTTGACTAATATTCTTTAATTCTAATTCATGCTTTTCCAGTCGTTCTATAATGCCTCTATAGTTATTTGTTCTCATCCATATAACTTCCTAGGAGGGAGGTCTGGCAGTCTAGTGATACTAACTTTCACTACAATCCCAAGGACATACAGTTTAAATCCACCAGTTGCTCCATGAGAAAAGTATGGACAATCTCCTCCTGTGCCATTTACTGCCTTTGAAATCCCTCTAGAGGGTCATCTGTGAGTCTGTCCCAGTTTGAGTGCATAAAACTACAATGACCTTCTAGGAGCACCCTTGTATGTATGTATGTATTCATTCATTCTCTGGATGTAACACTAACTTGTCTTTGCCAGAGTCATATATGACCATATGATACTAACAGTATAGACTTTAGCATATGTCTAATATATACCCAGATGTCAGGGCTTATTGTTCACTTTTAATTATTCACAAAACCTTCCATAGCATCTTTCATGCATTGAATCTTAAAAAAATGAGTTACTGAGGGAATTACTTCTAGTTGGTGTGAAGACATTCTAGATGAGGTAGATTTGAGCATTCTTTGAAAAATCTGTGGAACTCAGTGGACTGTGTGACCTAAAATGGGTGCTTGGGATACATGAGCAAATCACAAGGGTGGAAGCCAAATTTGTTTAGGTTATCTGTATTAAATGAAAAATCTCTGAAATTGGCAAATGATATTGGTGAAGTTTATACAATGAGATTGACCCTAATGAATTGTATACATGAAAAGCTATTTGTCATCTATATAGAAACCCTGGTGACACAGTAGTTGAACTCTTAGCTGCTAATCCAAAAATTAATAGTTCAAACCCACCAGTGACTCCAGGAGAAAACTGTGGTGGTCTACTTCTGCAAAGTTTATAATCTTGGAAACCCTATGGAGAAGTTCTCTTTTCTATAGTGTTGCTATAAATTTGAATTAACTCTAAGACAATGGAATGTGGTTTGGATATGTAACTTATATTTTTACAACAATTAAAAGGCTACTGGATTAGGATGTTGCAATAGGAAGAAAAATATTAATTTTGTACATTTTGTCTCATATTTCAGATATTTTACATAGGTAAAGTTTCTAGAGGGAGCTCTGATGACATAGGCTATATGGAGTTGTGTTTCTAATCCAGTAACCCAAGTCTCTATTGGTTCTAGTCCACCAGCCACTCCTCAGGAGAAAGATAGGAAGTGTCTTGTTAGATTATAGCCTTTGAATTCTGGTGTAGGGTTCCCACAATTTAGAACTGACTTAGTTGGCAGTGAGTGAGTGAAGGTACTTAGCACTTAAACATTTAGGAATGAGACACCAAATCATTGAAGATATCTCAGTTAATCAAAGTTTGAAATAATAGTCTAGTATTTCATCATAATTAATGTTTTAAAATAAAGAAACAGAGTTGACCTTTTTTTTTAATGTGAAAGAATTGAATTTGTCATGGCTTCTGATAATGAGCATCATCATTATGTATGTCATCTGTCACTAGATGGAGTACATGAGCCCAAAGACTTGTTAATCTTGTCCATACCTCATGTGATTCCTGTATTATGCCTTTGAATGGGAGGATATGCTTTTATTTTTTTCTGGAAAAAATTTTATTTTGAAAAGTCAATTTACTTTTCTTTATTATAAGTGTATGCATATTTTTTAAAAAAACCATTGATGAATAAGTTTGAATGGCCAAATTTGGAAACAACAGTGAGATACCATCTCAAGCCAGCAGGAGTAGCAAAGTTTAGCAAAATAGCAAAGCGTAAATGTTGGAGAGGATATGGAGAGATTAGAACTCTTAAGCACTGCTGGTGGGGTTGTAAAATGGTACAATTACCATGAAAGGCAGTTTGAGGTTTCTGTAAAAAACTGAACGTAGAAATCCCATATGACTTAGCTATTCTATTGCTAGGAATATACCCCAATTAAATCAGAACTGAGAAGCAAATGGAGATATGTACACCTGTGTTCGTAGCAGCATTATTCAAAACAATAAGAAAATGAAAACAGCCCAATGCCCATCAACAAACAAATAGCTTGAGAAATTGTGATATATTCACATGTGGAATACTATGCAGCACTAAGGACAAGCAACTTCACAAAATACTCTATAGCTTGTGAGATACTAGATAGCATTATGCTGAGTGAAATATATCGATCACATAAGAGCAATTACATAAACTACTATTCTGAACTTAAGAGGATAATTGAACAAGATATGGATAAATATTCAGAAGGAGAAGGGGAAAAGTTACCAGGATAGCAGAGGTTTGTGGGTGAAGGGGGCAGTGAAGTAAAGGGAAATGTTCAGTGAGGACTTCAGCAATAGGCATAGAGCAATAGTAATTAATTACATGAATTATAATGCATGTGAATGATTATATAAAATACAAAGTACATGTACAAAACACAGTGTATGAATGATTAAATGAAAACCAATAAAAAAGTGAAATAAAAATAAACAGAATCTACAAATTATCATAGAAATAATATATATAAATAAGAAGAAATGAAAGTTTATGTATTTTAATTTTTTATAGCTTGAATCCTGTCAAATTCCCCAAAACCATAGTGTAATACTAAATTTAGGGTTTCAAAAATGTTTTTGATCTTTTTTTCATATTTTTCCCCAAGGAGGAAGATCTGTCCTATTTTGGGGGATATAACTTTATAATTTACCTCTTTATAGTTTAAAAGATAATTTTGGTAACAAGTATTTTCAATTTATTTTATTATGGCATGTAAATTTTTAAAGAAAATATCATCTTCTGTTCCAGCAACCTCCACTCCTCTTTCCAGGAGCTCTTTATTTCAATCCAACTGCATTTTGTACCATGAGCTGTTTTTCTATCAAATGCCTGTAAGAACAACTGTTGCATTCCTTCTTATGTCAGTTCTTGGCATAGTAAAATACATGTCTGCATCCAAAACCTATGAGGCAGCACCAGAAAAAAGCTGAGATTAGCAATTTTTCCTATCAATCTTGTCAAAAATTAGGGAACTTGAGGCTGATAAAAGAGATAAGATTACCAGTATTTCAGTCACAAGCTTACACTGCCACTTTAGTTTGCTTAGGGCCTAGGTATAGTAAGGAAAAGAGCAGATGACTACATGAAGAAGTTGCAGAAAGGATCTTGGGAACTTTCCATGCCTCAAAAACGAAGCCGCTAGCTTGCTTAGTTAATCTCAATGCAAGACATTATGTGGACAAAATATGTTCTAATTCCTTTTTTCTTTGTTTCTGCTGCAGCACATGCCCTTATAGTCGACCTCCTTTTGGCTATGGAAATTTTCCAAGTTCAATGCCAGAATGCCTTGGTTATTATGAAGACAGGTACCAAAAACATGAGGCCATGTTTTCAGCTTTGAATAGAGACTATCCTTTTAGAGACTACCCAGATGAACGCACACACAGTGAAGACTCTCGGAGTTGTGAGAGCATGGATGGGACTTCATACTATAACAGTCATGGCCACAGTGGAGAAGAATACTTAAATCCTGTGCCTCAGCTGGACATTGGAGCCCTAGAGAATGTCTTCACAGCCCCAACCTCTACTCCGTCTAGCATCCAGCAAGTAAATGTCACTGACAGTGATGATGAAGAAGAAGAAAAAGTGCTTAGAAATTTATAATTTTAAAACAAATATTCAAAGATAATAAACATTTATTAAAATATATTTTGGGTCAGTTGGTGTGAGAGAAAAAAACCTAGAATGCTTGCTAGAAGTTTTCAGCCATGAGTTGAGGAGTCAAAACCAAATTTTCATTAATATTTGATTAATGAAACTGGAGCTCCTAATGTTTTATACTAGGAATGCTTAAGATATGAAAGAATTTCTTTGTATGGCAACTTATCATCAACATGAACTATTATTTCTTTGTAATGTGAAAAATATTATTTCCTCATAATTGTATGCAAGGGGAAAAGGAAGTGTGTATATATGTAGTACGACAAGTATAATTTGTATTTTATCCCAAGATATGGTTATTTTTCTTAAATTATTTTTGTTTGGCATTTATTTAATACTTAATCCTATTGTCAATTTTTACATAACATTTTGAAATACTTTGATAATTTTAGTGGTGAACTAGGACTCAGTTACTAACTTTAATTTACACTAATAGCCAACTGTATAAGTTGCCAATGTGTTTTAATGGCACATAAGTAATTACTTCTGCCAAGTTTAGTAATTTCTGTCCTGAAAAATTTTAATCATCTTTTCTGGATATTTCCCCCCCCATTTGGTATACATTGCTCTATTTCTGTTGTAATTAAATAAACATAGATAAAATTATCCTTGTTGGATGTTTTCTATTGGGGCATAGACATAAGAAAAGCAAGTATTCATCTGAGGATGGTTTCCATACCACAGGTAGATACTAAACTTTTACCTAATAGCCTCTGGAACTACACAAGTCCTATTTGTGTCCCTGAGACTTAAAGCTGTATGAACAATGATGTGATGCATGTATTCTGAGGCCATTTCTAAACTCTACACATGTGTACATGTGACTTGAGAACTGCCAAAAACAGAAGAGCTCTTCCAGATTTGGCTCAAGCAGCTGTCCTTGAAATCAAGGAGTTTACTTAAAAGCACATGGATTTATATAATTCAAAAAGAAAAAAAAATCAAACCCATACCAAGACAGCCCCTATTTGTGATGGAGCCTTTTGGTAATTTCTCACTTGTGAATGAAGAGGATCTTTTTAGAACAGAATCAGGAACAGGACCATAAGAGTAGGAATCATGGTAAAAGATTTATAAGATACAAAGCCAAATGATGATGGGAAAGACCAATGCACTTTTCCTCACTAATCTATATAGCTCATGAAGCTTGGTATCTTGTTTCTTAAAATCATTTGGAAAATTGTAGTGTATAGAAACCTCTACACTTCCAACTACTTCTTTTGTTAAATGTGTGTTTTGTTACTTAAACAAAAGTTGCTAATTGTAATATATTTCACCAGCCCTATATTTATTATTGTACATAATAGTTCCCCTTCCCAATAAAATTTATTTTTATATTTTATATTAGTTATTGCTCTAGGCAGTGTCATTTCATTGTGGTTAAAGAGCAAAGTGAAATTCTTGATTGACAGAGATGAAAGTAATATTTGGTTGCGTATACATTTGAATACCCAGAACCATGAAGGAGGATTGTGTATAACAGTTTGACCCATTTTTACCTTCATTTCATTTTAATACCACTTTGATGCTAAACTAGGTTTTTATAGAGAGATATTGTAGGTAAATGGAATAGATTGGTAGTTTCAGTGTTTCTTAATTACCTACTTTCAGGGTGATCTTGCACCCCTAATTTCTTTTGCTCTCTCTTTTTCAAATTATGTTAAGCCTGAATAATTCTTCTAATATTCCTCTTCTTCCTAAGTGCTAGGATCAGAAGCTGGTTTATTTACAAACCCTACTGTAGTTTTTGTGAGGGAAATGGACAACTCTCATCTGGAGAGCATACAATTGCAGATAAGATATCCTAGCTACTAATGTCCGTCTCTGCTCATTTATAGTTTTTCAAGCAAAGTCCTGTCCCACTGGCACTAATTAATCTCTCTCTTCAAGCCATCAAGATTAAATCTTTTATGCTTGAAGCTACAAGTTCTTTCTAAATATATCCCATTGCCTTTTTAGTTCGTAGAAAGTGCAATCAGGTGTATTTGTTAAATGAATAACCTCCTTTCAAAGGATATTGTGAAATGTCAATATATTTGAAATGCCACTCAAACTGTTCTATAATTTTAACAGGGCTGCTTTGGCTACTTGTAAATTTTAAAAAAAAACCCACACAAACTGTTCTCATTGTAAGTAGAGTGAAAATAGATTTATTTCAAACTTTCAAGTAGCTGAGTTGTCAAAATACAAAATGATGTAAAAATGGGTCAAATTGTTAAATACATTTCTCTTTTATGGTGCTGGGTATCAAATGTGTAAGCAGCCAAATGTTATTACTCAGTGTGTAGTTGGAATGCCAACAAGTCCATTAGCTATTCTGATCAAATTTGGTCAAATAAGTGTGTGAAACTAAGACTCCATCTCCCATTTGCCTCATCCACCACTTGAGAGTGTCAGTAGGCTGTTGTAAAGTTTCTCACAAGGCTTAGAGAAATATATTTTGAGCTCTGTTTATCTTCGTGCTTCCCAAACTGACTTGAAACTCCTTTTTTTTTTGTTTTCACATACTACCTGTTAACCTTGCACTGAAAATGCTTTGTAAAAATACTAATATACTTCTCATTGGTGGCTTTGATTTTTAAAGTATTGCTTTCACTGATGATTTTTATTGATTACTTTAAAACCTTTACTGAAACCCAGAGAATACCTGAATAAATTGGTCTTTTTGTATTATTTATAAAAAGATTGAAGAACTGAAACCTATATTTGTCACAAATTTACATTTGTCGCAACTCAACTGGTTTTTTTTTTTTAATGAAAGTGATACTGCAACCAAGAATCCAAATGGGCAAATGCATTCAATTCCCACACATGCATATTGTTCAACCATATAAAACCAGTTGTCAGAATTATTCTTGAGCCAAGGATATTAACTGATGGTGAGACAAAATGTTGGGGATTCTTAAGAACTACTTGTAATATTTTCATTTTACAACAGTGTAGTTTTTTTCATGGACAAAGTATTTCTGTTCATGTGAAAATTTAACTTTAAGGGTTTAAGGGCATTTCCAAAAGTATTACAATAAAATTACTTTGTAAAAATGTAGAATTCCCTATGGATACTAATGGTTAAATTATGGACTATTAACCTGTAGGCTGAGGGTTCATACTCACTCAAGGATGCATGAGATAAGGAAAGTGGGGAGAAATAATAGAACTAGAGCTGTTTACCTCTAATTCCTGAGGTGCTTTAATCAGACAGTTTCACATTTATTTGGAAGATGTAGGGAAAAATTATCAGAGCTATGCCTTTTGGGAATACTTCACTTAAAAAAAAAACCTTTAAAAATCAGGGTGTTTCTCTTTGGTTAGCATGGAGTCTTTGTGTTAAAAGTTCTAAACTCTTCTTAAGACAGTAAGACTATTATTTGACTGATGTCACATTCCTCCTCATAAACCCCAGCCTCCCAAATGATCTGTTCTGCATATAGATTGAAAACGTATGGAGATAGGAAGTCCCCCTGACTCACTCCTTTTCTGATTTTGAACCTGCTCTGTTTCCCTGCTTTGGTCTGAGGACTGCTTCCTGGTCCAAGTTTGGGATTCCCATTCTCCTCAAGGTTAACTACAATTTGTTGTGATCCACACAGTCAAATGCCTTTGCATAGTCAGTGAAACACGGATAAACATTCCTCTGGTACTCTGCTTTCAGTTGCACTGGCGACAATGTCTTTATTGCCATGACCACTTCTAAATCCAGCTTGTATTTTTGGTAGTTCTCTGTCAATTTACTGTCTCAGTTGTTTTTGGATAATCTTCAGCATGATTTTGCTTGTGTGACTTTAGTAATTTTGTTGTTTTGTTTTGGTATGTGCCATCAAGTTGCTCGCAACTCATAGTGACCCTATGTACAACAGCCCTGAAACCTGTTCGATCCTGTGCCAACTTTACTGTCTCTGACACACCTACCATCCTTACTCCAGTCACTGAATCAGTCCATCAATCTCACTGATGGCTTCCTTTCTTTCTCTGCCCCTCCACCCTTTCAAGCATGACATCCCTCTCCAAGGACTGGTCCCTCCTTGAAACATGCCCAAATAATTTCAGATGAAGCCTCAGAATCCTTGCCTTCAAGGAGCAGCCTGGTCTGTCTGACCCTCTCTAGGATGAAACCTGCTTGTTCTCCTGGCAGTCCATGGTATATTCAATACTCTTTTCCTGCACCACAGGTCAAAGGCATCAATTATCTTTCTATTATCCCTAGTCATTATTCAGCTCTTTGGCACAGAGCAAGCAATTGCGAAGACTATTGCCTGGATCAGGCTCACCTTAGTCTCCAAACAGACATTGTTGCTCTTCAGTATCCTGGAGAGGTCCCTGACAGCCGACTTTCCCAATGAAATTCTTCTTTTGATTTCCTGGCTGCAAGTAGCAAGAGTGTTGATTATGGAGCCAAGCAAATTAAAACTATTAACAATCTCCATCTCTTTTATCCATTTATCTCCAATTTATCCTATACTGTTAACAATCTCCATCTCTTTTATCCATTTATCCTATGCTGCAAATAGGCCTAGTGGTAAGAATCTTTGTTTTCTTGATGTGGAACTTCAATCGTATTGAAGGCTGCAGTCCTTGACCTTCTGCAACAAGCGCTTCAGGTCCTCCTCAGTTTCACCAAGCAGAGTTCATCTGTATATTGTTTTATAATTTCCACACTCTGTTGAGTCACTTTTTTTTTTCTGAATGGGAATAAATAAGGATCTCTTCCAGTTAGTTGTCCCAGTAGTCGTCCTCAGATTTCTTGACACAACCTGGTGAGCACGTCCAGGGCACAATCTGTTTGTTCAAATATGTCAATTGGTATTCCATCAATTCCTGGGGCTTTATTTTTTGCCAAGTCCTGCAAAGCAGCTTGAACTTCCTCCTTCATCACCATTGCCTCTTGATCATATGTTATTTCTTGAACTTTTTCTGTTTCCGCCAATTCTTTTTGGTACAGTGAC